ACAACTGATTTTTGTTAACAATCTCAATTTATTGACTTTTTACGCATGTGTGAAAAAATTTTGATTGATGTTCATATTACTGAGCGGTTGTCAAGAGAATAATACGCTATCATAATAATAACAAATTAATTGGTTGTAGAAAAATTCGGAATGTGTCCCCGGAAGTGTGTGCTATGAGGGAAGCGGGCAAGCAGGCCGACCGGCAACGGGTCAGTCCATCACGCGGCGACCTACAGCGCTGCCGATCCATTAGCTCGATTTCGTGTTCAAGTTCACTCGAAACGTTCCATCACCAAAAATATTTTTGTGGTGTGACGCAACCGGCAGCGGCTGTGTCCCACTCGAACGCCCGGGCGCGCTCTCAGTCCGTGCCGTTCTCGCGCGACCTTGGCCGCGGTGCGCCGCAAGGTTCGGGTCTTCGAACTCGGCGCGCGGAGCGGGCGCGGGGCGCGGTACCACCGCTCCTCCAATCGCTCGCAGCGCTGGTCTGAGCGCGCCTGCCATTGGTCCGTCAAACGTGCGGCAATGACCTCGGAGACCGGAGTTCGAAGCGCGCTGATCCTCGCATCGAAGCGCAGATCGTCAGGCTTGTCGGCCGATAGAGGCGAATTTCGCTCGGCGCAGTGAGCTCGGTTGTCGAACCGATTGTATCGCTCAGAGCGCCGATCTTTTTGCAGACTTTCACTCTTAAAGGAAGGCCCGCGCGGCAAGAAGCGGCAGCGCGCGCGGCCCTCACTCAGTTCGTCGTTCGAGCTCGAGTGAGACGCACGCGCGTGCAGCGAGACGAGCGACCTTCATCCCTTCGTGACGTGCCGGCCGCACACCCCGGCCCATGCACTCGTATCCTATATTGGGTGACGGTCCGTGGAGGACGGCTGTGGCGAGTAACCCCTAGGCTCGGATGTGGCTTACGTGCAGTGAAGTGCGAGGGAGGACAATTATTATAATCCTAGTTTTAAGAACATATGACTTTAGTGATGTCTCCGGACAGTAGTTATGGGCGCTACGATACGCCCACGCCTGTGGAGAGCAGACTCATGAGTCCGGTGCATAAGGAACGTGAACCAGAACTGCATATAGGTAGGTTTTAAACACTTACTTTATTTCATACACCATTTATAGTCAATATTTAGTATATTATTACACTTCGAATTTATTTATTTATTATTATTTGCTATCATGTACAAAAGTAAACAGTTAAAGTAATCAACTTTATCTTGCTATGTAACTTCGTCATATATATTTGAAATAATTAAAAAAAAATCCTTTGCTTACGAACTGCTGAAAAACAAAACAAATAAAGCTTAAGAAATATCCAGGTTTGTTTTGTGTGTCTATGTATGCATTTTTTCTCTTTATCCAATTCAAACATATACTTTATAATAGCTTAGTAACCAAACTTTCGTAGCACTTATCAAACAGCACAACAATTGCATTAGTTGTTGTAGTTATCACTATATTATGCATCAAATACCTGTTCCATGTAGGTATACGTAAACTTTACATTTACTTTTGAATTATGATATCCTAATAAGGAACTTTCCTTTTCAACGTAGTATCGTTATGTTACGAGACAAATTTGCTACATGCTACGACGTTTTTGTATCTTATCTAAAAAACATTGCTTTCGTTTTTATTTGGAAAAGAGATAGATTTCAATAAACTTTCTACAAGACGTACTGTTTGACGCATTTAAAAGTTTTTGTAAATTGTTAATTTCTTCTATTATGTTTTCTATAGTCCATTAATTGTAGTAAAGTTGCGTGCAACAATAGAATCGCGTTTTTTTTAACAAATATCGTGATGTTATTGATGGATTACACATTTTATTCTTTATTTCTCACTACCCTTTACCGTTCTGCAATAAAATTTATGTTTTGTTTAGGCGCAAATGTTTGCAGAACGAATGTGATTGATTAAAACGTGTTCCGATCGAAATTCCGCTCGGAAAGGTTCAAAAACAATTATAAACGCATTGTTCAAAATATGTTTAGTTCCGCGACAGGCGACGTCGACAGGCCCCCTAACAAATTGACGTTCCAATGGAGAACATTGACTGCAGGGAGTCCTTATCGATTTGCGTTCGATACTTAATGATCTTATCGTTTTTTATCGATTGACTTTTGTAACGTTCTCTCCCATGAAATTTTTGATATCGACAAAGAGTTAACCGTTACTATAGTTAAAAGGGTATGGGGGATTGCAGCATCTAAAGAAAATTTAGTTAATGATCATTGTAGCGAAGTAGAAAGATATTTTCTAAGAGCACAGCGTGACAGCGAACAGGTTCAGAGACAGCTGCTGCCGCTTAACTTTTACTTTTCTCTCGACGCTTGCGCAGCAAGTTCCACCAGTTTGCAACACGATGACGTTCTCATCTCATACAATTTTACTCTCAACTTCTCGCCATTATATCAGTTATGTTTACACACTCAACACAAAGACAATGGACTACTTGATACCTCAACAACATTACTTGTTCTATTCAACGCGGTCAACCATAAGGTGCTAAACACCAGTAGTTGTTTTGATATATTTTCTCCTTAATACTTTTTACTCCTTAATACTCCTTAGAACTTCTTTAAAATTCTTCTTTGAAATTTAAAATTATGGCATTATCTATAGATGTTCGATGCTGAGAGCAATGTGGGCAGACGTGAAAAAATGTCCGGAAACAAATCATGAACGTGATTTAATACGTAATAACCTAAATTATTTACAAACAAAAGTCACCGTGACACAGATTGGGGCCCAGTGCGATCAGTTAATCGCATCGCTATTCGCGCGATCAGTCTGCGTTACGTGGCCGTGTACTTTCTCGCGCGCTTTCCTCGCCTCTTAATTGACGTAACGAACGAGCGATTCACACGCGCCGCAGAAAAACGCTCGCGTTGCATCACTCGAGGAGAAATGGCTGCACGCCACTGGCTCTGTTGCAACTGCACTAGTTACGTCTCACCACGCTTTCCCCGCTGCCATTGTGATCCCCACCTGCACACGCACCGACGAAAGTGCTGGTAGAGATGAGACTAAAATTATTGCGCCGAGGGCTACCATACGCTGCGTCTAAAAAAGAAAGTAACAGTGTAGAAAGCGACTGCTCGAACGTCGACCCGCGGCGAGTGGTGCGAGCCCGAAATAGAAAGTTCCTCCGAAAAGCCCGCGGCTGCTCCCTATGACAAATAAACAAATGCCGGGAGAGGAAAGTGAGAACAGTCGGGTTCGTCGAAACCAGTTCCCGGCCGCGCCGCCGCCGGTCTAGCCACGTCACCTGTTATTGTCGGGGATTATGTCTATCGTTGACCTACTAACGAAATTACTATACACATTAACAGTTGATCATTAAACGAAAACTGTATCAATGAAGTAATCGCTGTCTAAGTGCACATTGGTCAGTCGAAATGTTAATTAATTTTGTATTACGGAGTAACAATGCAGTCATTGACTTTAAAATACATAAATAGAGAGACGACTGCTTTCTAAAATAGCTATTCAGTGTCACCTTGAGACACGCAAAGTGACGCTGTTGCGTCATACGTTCCATTAGTATTAAGTTAGCTGGATTGTCATGAATTATACAAAACCTCTGATATCTCGGAATTCAATGTTTATTCTTGTTAAAGAAAGTAAATTCTATCAATATTGATGAATTCATCTAATCCATTGTTGAAGTGTTACGTTGGATGTTATGTAAAGTTAGATAACTCCTAACCCACTTTTGCCTCCTCAAATATAGGATATTTTTTTCAAGTATTTACACGTGTAGTAAGTACATAACTCGGAACTTTAGTGCGAATGCGATTAGGTAGCAGGTAAACATTGTTTTACACGATTTCTATGGTGGCACGTGACCGCTGATAACAATACAATTACTCGCACTAATGCACTAGGTGCCTCATGGCTTAGTTCGATCGAGCAGAATCGGAGGTATTTAAAATATAATAAATAAAACTAAAATTTATTTCATTTATCGATGCACAGAGAATACTTAATGTAGACAAACGTATTAAATCTAAAGAAAATATAACTAGAAAAAATTCCACGCGGACCAGGCAGCAGACGGGACTCGAACCCGCACCCTTCGCAATCCGGGCGAATGCACTGACCAATTATGCTACCGCGGCCCTCACGGACCGCGTCGAAATTCTTTCTAGCTATTCTTAAGCTGCAAGGCAGCGCCATCTCTTCGCATTATAGGTAAACCCACAATGTCAAATGAATACTTTTACAAGTATTAAACATTTGAAAGAAGAAATAGCAATTATAGTTATAATTTTTATTATTTTTAAAGCATGTAACTGCTTGATGTTTAAATCTAAAGAAAATATAACTAGAAAAAATTCCACGCGGACCAGGCAGCAGACGGGACTCGAACCCGCACCCGCCTTGCAGCTTAAGAATAGCTAGAAAGAGTTTCGACGCGGTCCGTGAGGGCCGCGGTAGCATAATTGGTCAGTGCATTCGCCCGGATTGCGAAGGGTGCGGGTTCGAGTCCCGTCTGCTGCCTGGTCCGCGTGGAATTTTTTCTAGTTATATTTTCTTTAGATTTAAACATCAAGCAGTTACATGCTTTAAAAATAATAAAAATTAAAACGTATTAAACGTTTATAAGGTTAAGATAACGCTAAAACAGGCACTCAAAAGCTCAATCGTCATCTCTCTATTATACTTTATTTTCACCATATTACTATCATAGACCGTTTCATTTATCCCCACTTAATATAAATAAACCTACACAACAGCCTGTCAATTTTAATAATGAAGTTAAGGAGCATATATTATTATGCGAGTTGAATGCTCGGTTTCGTTGCAAGGTCACCGAGTTATCGTCAGAATCACGTGCGTGGGCATCGGTGTTTGTTATACAAGCTCGGCGCACCGGCCAGGATGTTTAGCAAACTCAAACACCGTAATCTTTACAACATTGGATATTTTCAACCTGCCATAAAAATTACATGTAAGAATTTGCATCTGATTTACCATTTTCTCTCTTGTTACAGAGTTCGATGGTACCACAGTACTGTGCCGCGTCTGCGGCGATAAAGCCAGTGGATTCCACTATGGCGTTCATTCCTGTGAAGGCTGCAAGGTGAATATTGTTATTTTTATATAAAAATACTTCATTACTTTGTTATTTTTATTATTACTTAAATGCTTACCAGTACAGAGTTGCCCGTTAATTACACTTCGAAACCAACTGTGACATATTAATTTCTCTACATATTCCATTATAAAGACAAAGATATTCCGTTATAACACTCTGAATAATGGGTAATTGAGTGGGAGACATGCGGGTAGAGGCACAATAAAGTAGGAAGCATATGTGTGCGGGTGACAGCCCCTCCGCTCGTCACGCTCTGCCTCGAAAGGCACTAGTCTAGTGCCATGCCACCATCAAGGCCGGCCATACGGAAGACAATCTCTATTCATACGGTAAATAGTCATACAGCCTGACCAGGTGACCTTATTATGAAATGTAAATATGCGATTCAACCTCGCCAAGTATGGTAATAAAATTATTGACTCGACACAATAGTATAATGTGGACTTGTTGCGTCAAATCAAAGTGGTCTGGGAAGGCTAGTCGCGCCGTCTACCTGCCGGCCAACGAGGCGGTCAGCCCTTGTGCCCCATTTCTATCACCTTTATTTTTGTTATTGATACCTGTGAAGGCAATCACACGGGAACGAAGTAATTTTGAAGGGGACTAAAATGTTGATAAACCGACCGAGGTCATCCTTTCACAGGTTAAAAATTTCAACTTGACGTTTGACTTATTATATTTCAATTAAAAAAACTTCCTCTACTTAGATAATATATGATTGGTCTCCCTGCGTTTGTTCGCCGCAAAGTACGAGCTCTAAATAAATTATTTTTAAGAATTTATTGACGTTTAAAAAATTTCATTTAATAGATAAAACAGTTTTACACCAAAAACAATATTTAGGGTAGATAAGTAACAAGCATAAGCAGTGTTGCATTAATATTCTCATGTGTTCATGTAAAAATATTATTCGAAAGTACGAGTAAAGAATTAAAAATACAAAACCAAAACAGGTCAGCCACGACGAGACGACTCCAAATGAAAAAAAAAGACGACGCAAGGTCGTGAGCTCAGGCTTGTGGCGTCCCCCATCTTAGCATGAGCACCACGTCAACTAATACACATATGAATAGGGAATGTGAGCATCGTTTAACTTTGCGTTCCTTTACGAATATTTTTGTAGCAATTCATTGTTGTAAGTTCTTCGTTGAGATCTGAATATAACTCCTTATGGCCCTAATAGAATAATAATGCAATAATCCGTCGGCTCCATTTAGCTTCAATTTGTATTAACAGTGGTAAATTGTGGAGTCAGTAACCACCCCTCGGCGCAAGGTCGTATTTATGAGCGTGAAAGCGATGCGAGGAAGCAGACAGGATCGTAGTGCAAGTGTCCGCGAACTGGTTTAGTCGGTTGGGCGGCACAAAGAGTCCTTCGCAGTTGCAACGCGGTCGCATCTCATTGTGCACCCACGAACAATGGAACTACTCTCAGACGATACTGGCAGCCGACGATTTCATTAATCCTTCTAGCTGACCTTTAAAATGTTTTCGTATAATTATTGTCTTTACATGCGTATAATGTTTAACACATTGAATATATCTTCAAATTTATATAATTGATGACCTCAAAGATGTGAGGTTCCAATTGCATTTGACTACTCAAAAGCTTATCAATATGATAATAATTAATGCAAAATTTTAACAAAGTAAAACTTCGAGCAATATAATTTTCTTATTTTACTTGCTCTGAATATATTAGGTGTTTACTTTTATGAATAAAAAATAAGATAAATGTATTTTACTAATAATTATTTAGTATTAAATATAAAAAAGGATTAGTTATGCATAAAAATATATAATTCATACGAAATTGACGTGTTCCGTAATCTCAGTTGGCGCTTGGAACTGTAGGCGCCAGCTTACGGCAGTATTGCGAAACTTGTTTAGACGTTCAGCCACTCGCTACTAGATGGCAGCACTCGCGTCGCCGCGACGGTGCTGCCATAAGCTGATTGGATACTAGAAGTAAACTTATAAATGAATGACGGGCCAGTGTTAGTTTCTCACTATACGAGGGACGAGGAGCGGGACGTACTACGACTTGAAGTCAACGAACTCATAATTTTATTCAAGTCTACGTCATATTAACATTATTAACGTCGTTTATATTTACCTTTTGTAACTACAATGACAAAGAAAACATTTTTGATATATGAATGAAATTCTGACTCTCTATATTAACTAACACAATACATATAAAACTAAATATCCTAACATTATTAATTTAGATTTCTTAAAAATTATGTTAGTTTTCAATCCTCAATGAAATTAACCAGTACTCTTTAAGTCAGCTCCGGGGTCTTTTTTTACTCAATATACAAAACAAAATTTATGAACGTTATAGGTAAACTGTTCATAATTTTTGTTCTGGAAATTGTCAGGTTCATTATTTTAATAGAAGCAATTATTGCAGGAGGCAGTTTTTTTAAAATATAGCATTATTTGCTTTTTACCAGAGTTAAGTCTTAGATTATAAAGGCAACAGGAGCCGCCGTGTTCTTTGTTCGCTGTAGTGACCGAGTTATTTGTTCGTATAGTAGGTCGCTTATATTTCGGCACCAATAAACGGTGCAGGGCTGGCGGGCGTTGACCCCGCCAGGCCTGCGCGCACACCGCTCTCCTCCGCTCTGCCCGTAAACAACTTCTACGGGTAGCAAATGTACGCGCAACGTGAACGTAACCCACATTATTTTTTGAATTGTCAGCTTAAAAGTTCATTGATCTCTGAACGGTCACATTTTATTGGGAGCAGAGCATCATGCTGTTGCGTTTGCGTTTATGATTTCCTGTTGAGCAGATGTGTTTACTGTATATGTATGAATGTTTAATCAACTCACTGAGCTGCTACTTAGAAAATATCGCTTTGTTATTCAATTATAATAATGATTCAGGTCATTTAGAAATTATAAATAATTACTCATTTTAAAGCTCTTTGAAATAATTACACGATAAATTACAACAGTTAAAAGGATACTATTACTTAATTATATTGTATCACCGAACATTACGAGGTTATGTTTATGTGTTAATAAAACATTGTTGTAAAAATAATTAAGCCCAAGAATATAAGTATAATTTGCAGAACATCAATAATAAATTTCTGTTGCTTGACACTAAAAATACCTCATTTAAATAACGCTAGTACAACTTCAGCATATGAGATAAAAAATATTATTATAGTGAAATAGTCCTCCTTTAATGTTCTGTCAACCCTGAAAAAAATATTATTCTGTATATAACATAGAAATAATATAATGAAGAAGTTTGAAATTTGAGCAGGCCTTTGTAACGACTCTATTAGTGATTCCGTGAACGTGTATAACTGTAAAGAAAAATGCTGCTAACTCATAAAACAATAGTTAGACTAGGACGTCAGTGCAGATATAAAATAGTGATTAGCGAACGCAGACTGAATCACAAGCCCGTCGTCAACTCGTGAATCAGAGTCTTGTCGTTATCAAGTTAACATCTGCGGACCGGCAGGCACGTACAGTGGACGACTGTTAGCCGAGGGCGCTTCCTCGGAAACACAGATGCGTCAGCATGTTTTCGACTTTGGCCGATCAGTGTTAGCGAAGTCGTTGGCCGCTGCACCGTTAGCCTCTACGCCGCGCCTCAACGAATCGGTCGGCGTATTCTGTGTCTGTGACACTCGACTCGTATCAAATAATTTTGAAAAATTTTGCATTCACTCTCATAATAGACACATACAATAACTTTGTAAAATACCTGGATAATTAAAAAGTTATCTGACACAGAAGATGGTTTTGGGTATTTCGTAATAACATTCCTTTGACTGTACGTTTCAACTTCCAATTAAAAAAGTAAAAACTTTACAATTGCAAAGTACATAAAGAAGTGCTACAGATAATTCAAAATAAACATGCGATTAATATTATAACTCAATTAAACTAAGTTGTTTATGCAAAATTTCAGCCTTAAAAGTTAAATATTTTCACATGACTAGGGAATATTAAACAGTCAGTTGATAAAAATGACACCGAAATCATAATTGTTAGAATAAATTAATTACCGTTTTCGAGGTCTTTAACTAACTATATTACTGAGCAGCTATCTTGCAACCGCCGTGATTTACAAACTTAAATAGCTGGCGTACGTGACCCACTTGGTGATGTAGAAACCCTTGACGTAGCCGTTAATGATTTATTAGAAAGAACCATTGAAAGAAATGATTCATAAATTTAACGTAACGAGACAATTTATTAAAATGAAATAAGAAAATATATCAAGCCTTTTAATTTAACAAAACTACAACTATATCACTTGATAACTAAAATAAAAAGTTAAAATTTATGCTGAAAAAAAACGTAAATTATATATATTTTGGCTTTTGTATTTCACAAAACACTTAATTTTTTCTTAACACAATTTGATAACAAAAAACCCATTGTATCTGTATTAAATTCGTTACATTGCATTTAAAAGAGCGTAATTCCATTTCTTATTTAATTCCAAATGGAGTAAAAAGTACAAATAAGTGTATTTTACCCAGTCCACAATGAGGGATCGATTGATAAACTCATTCATCAAAACCATTTCAGTACCTATATTACTATCATGGAACATAATCAACCTATAATCATAGAAACTGGCTTCTCCTTAGACTGAGAAAAGTAATAAAAATGAACTGATTATGCCTTATAGGTATTCGTAATTGTACTACTTGTTTATGTCTTACGATTGGTCATTACATAGTCATCAAATCGACCGTAAATAGATGTGCCAAATACTGTAACCAGAATTCGAAAAGTACCGGATACTAAAAGAATATTTTTTAGAACTCAAATCTAAGTAACCGTGTTAATTGGCTAGCTAGCGGTCGTTGACACATAGGAGTTAATTAAAGCACTGACCATCCACTCCGATACAAGATAAAAATGTGTTTAAGCGAACGTTCTACAGTAGTAGTAGGTATATATACAAATTTAATGTCACTATCTTGATATAGTTCGCATTTGTATAATACTTACATAGACGTGGACTACAATTCGACAGATGTTTGTCATAGTCATAAACTGTATACAAAGCGTGATGCGGGGCGGCGGGAAAGGTTTTGTTTTCGCGGCATGAGGTCGACGACCGCGCGGTCGGTCACTGCCCGCGCTGCGACCAATTATGGGCCACTCGCACAGCGCACAATGGATCGATGGCAGCGCAAAATTGGGCCACCGACCCGAACACTTCTCGTGCCGACCCATACTCCCTCTCTTTCATGCAATTACGCTGCGCAGTCTCAGAACTTCTTCGAAAGCTCTGTGGGTTTAAAGTTCATATTAAGATTAATAAGGCATCATTTTCAAACTTTTGTTTCACATACTACCTTTCAGATCGAAAGATCGTAAGGCTCGACCGAGGACCAAGCTAGGTGATATTTCGATTCTCAGACCGGATAACGTAAAGAACGAATTGTTTTTTGTATGGTGATTTGATAACAATAACACAACAACTTTAGCTAATCAATGACGTTGGAAAATATATGCTCATTATGTGATGAACGCTATTATTTATTTGAAATGCAACGTAGCATCATCACATTCATTATCTTTGACAAATAAAAAGCAAATTTAATTAGATACAAATTAATCTGTCGACCTAAAAATAGCACTCTACACTTTAACTTTTATAGTATGATGACTACGTCTAAAATGATTTGTAAAAAATATTCCTACGTCTAATTTAAATGGAAATAGTAATTCAGTTATTAATCGGATCATTGCATCCCTTAATGAGGAGCGCGCGCGCATTGAGGTAGGCCGTGACGTATGTTAGACGTCATCGGGTATAAAGCCGGTCGTCGACCCAACTGAGCTGCGCCCTAGCTCCCGGGCGATAGAGGGTATGGAGGGGAGGGTCGGCAGTTGTGCAATCGAGCGGTCGGTGACCCGGGGTGAACGCCCGTGCGCCGTGACGCTGCCGGGATGCGCCCGGCCTATATCCGGCGCACCGGTGCAGCGGCAGCGGCGCATTCTAGAGCGGCGAGGACCGTTAGGAGCGCGAGCGGGGAGCGCGCGGGGTCCGGGGCACTCTCACTTTCTCGGTTGGGTCGGCGGCCGGCAAGTAGGTCGCGCGGGTAACTGTGTGCCGCGCAGCGCAGCGCCCGCACAGTCCGCTCCCAGTCACCATCCGCGTCGGTGCAGCGCATGATACTACGCCCCTGCACAGTCTCGTCACAGTTGGTTAAGCGAGTGGTGGTGTCAGTGCCCAGTTTGTGTTAGTGAGTAGTGCATACCATGTCGTGCGGCGCTGAATTGCGCGAGCGGCACTCTGTACTGGTCAGCATGTTGGAGTCCCGCCGCGATTCTAGTGACTCGGGTTGCTCCAGTGACGAAAGCTCTGATGAGCGAGACTCTAATTGCCGCTGTGATCCCCAGGGTTTCTTTCGGCGGTCCATACAACAGAAGATACAATACAGGCCCTGCACGAAAAACCAGCAGTGCTCCATACTTAGGATTAACAGAAATCGGTGTCAATACTGCCGGTTGAAAAAATGCATCGCCGTCGGCATGAGCAGAGATGGTGAGTTTAATAAAAATGGTCATTTTTCTTGTTTGCATACAAAAATTTGAAAAAAAAATAAACTGGAAACAGTAGATAATAAAAACAAAACTTTTTTAAATCACATTGATCATTTTTTTTGTGTAAAAATATAATTATTTACTTCAAATTTTTTCAAATTTTTGTAAGTTTTGTAAAAGTTATAGTCATTTTTCCAGAATATTTATTACACCGCCAATTATGGCGGTTGATAGCGTTTTTTTTGCTAAATTAGTCTATTTAAACGTGGTTTGCATTTTTAATACATCAAAATATTCTTCTAATTGTACCTTGGCAGAATTTTTAAATTGATTTTCACACATACATTTAATTTAATATGACATAATGCGATGTGTTAACAATATTTTCAAATACGTGCACGCACGTCGGGTAGCTGTAGTAGTATGCATACGCAATTAGCGCGGGAAGGTCGTTCGAGCGATATCTGAACGCGCCAAGTGGGACGGCGTGCGTACTGCTAAGACAGATCCTATTTCGACGACGAGACGAGCGCGAGGCGAGGGCGAGGCGAGGCTGCGACGTGCGGGGAACGGGCCCTGTGGTGTGGGAGGTCGGTTATGCAAGCTCGGGTGAGCGCTCGCTAAGCGGGTCGACGGCCGTTGCGACACCCGCCGCGGCCGCGTCACTCTAGCAGTCACTCTGGTGAAAGCGGAGAAAGGTGCGTTTCGTAAGCATGAGAGTGAAATTTTGTATTTTCACTTTCGTAACGCTGGTTCATTGCCCTCACGCAAATTGTCTGATGCAAATATTCTATCGTTTACGTTATCTTAATTTGAATAAAATAAGCAGATATTTGATTACTTGCAAATATGAGTATCCTCATGGTACAAAACATTGAACCACTTGTAGAAAAAACAATCTATAATTAAAGAGTTTGAATCTAATAAGAAAAAAATATTTAGACACTTTGACCAGAACCAGTTGACTTTGTTAGAGTATTTCAATAGCAATAGTACCTACACGTTTAAATAACAATAAAATTAAAGAAAAATATTTACTGTTTAATTCAAACTACTTACTCAAAAAACAAAATAAAATTCGCAAATTGTAATAAACCTCCAAATAAACCAAATTAGTTCTGCTACTAGACGCTAGATGGCGCGCTTAAGTGACTGCAGCGCCCTGACTACGACGCGGCAAAACATTGAACTAAATGACTCTACATACAGGAAAAACTGACCATTTATCTGCAAACATTGAAACTTTTCATTTCATAACTGCGTTAATTGAATAAATAATGCCTTAATAAACAACATTGTTAATATTTTCATTAAGAAAATTGTTTTTATTATAAAAACAATTCATCCTCCTACGTTGAAAAGACATCAACGAAATACATTATTAGGTTTTTGTTACTCTTTTAATTTTAAGCTAAAATTTACTTTTTGATATAGATACATGAAATATACAGAAACTTATTTATTTTACAAACTAAAATTGTTGTATATAGTGATGAGTAGTGTGCTCTTATTTAAGGCAACTTTACCAGCCATTACAGAAAATGTACTAAACATTTCTGTAAAAAAAATTAAAATCTCAATAAATAAATTATTAAAATGTTTCATTAGTTTCATAAGCAAAGAATGCTTTAAACTAGGCTCGAGTGCTTCCTTATCTATCCAAATGTAGTAGACTGCCGCAAAAGTTCGCACAAAGTATTACATTAGATAAATTTTACGCCACCTTATTAGCTTATATTCGCGAGTCTTGTCAAATCGTCAAGGTTCAAGTGGCGCGAACGCTGGTAGGTAAGAGAGGGAGGGTCCGAGGGGATGGGAGGGGGGGGGGGGGGTAGCATTCGCGGGCGCAGGCCGCACGGAGTTTATTGACGGCAGATGCCCCCCTCCCGCGCGCGCCGCGTCGGCCCGCGCGTCAAGTTCAAGGTTGGCGCGGCGCGCGCCGCGGCGCAGTGCGAGGGAGTCCGGCCCGCGCACCGGTCGTCAGCCCATCGCTATCGCTATGTCAGTATACAGACCGCCGCTACGCCACGAGTACGCGACTATCGCTCACAGTGACTGCCCCGGTGTACTACGCTGATACACGCGCTCATACAAACATTGGATTACTTCTCATTTGGATTACAGTGATTTGTGCTCATAAATAAATTGAAACTATCGTGATATGTGACACTCTACTTAGTGAATAATTGAATTTTAGTCATAAACTAACTTGAAGTTACCATTTTTTTTTAAATTAAATCACCTGTGGCTGTAGGCTGTGAAATAGTTGTTATTGATTAAACTTAAATGGTGTCCGATATGGGTGAAGATTTACCAATACTGAAGGGCATCCTGAATGGAGATGTGAAATATCACAATGCTCGTATGTATTATTTATAATATAATCAAACTTTTTTTAAAGTAAAAAAAAATAATTATAAAAACTTTTAATGCGAGGAAGTCATAACACATGTTAATAATTAATTATGCAGGCACGTGAATGTGTATTACCATAAATAACACTAAGGAGTACTCTCATTCGTTTTTTATGCGTATAACTTTCATAACTATTAGTTATAATTAAATAGTTTATACTATTTATGTAAAACTTTTGAACTTAAAATATTTTCTGGACATTTAATTTTTTAATTATTTCTTAATTTAATGAAACATATTTCAGTTATATATTGATATTTTTATTATTTTTAACACATCTCGAAACTTTTAAATTAGATAAACAAACAATAAATTATTAAAACCGGATCGTTCAATCAAAATTTTCCGAAAGTCATTGAATTGTAAATAAAAGAAGCGACACTATGAATAGCTCTACCAAACAATGGAAGTATGCATCTGGTCGACTCTACGTGACCTACATAGTGCAGCGAAAGTCGGGAGAAATGGCGAGAGGGCGCTCTCCGCTTTCGTTTTCAACATGCGCTCAAACACTTTCACCTCGCGCGCACAAACAGCGCAAGCGGCGCGTCCGCCCCCACCGCATACTACCTTTTAACGCGGAGCGCCTACAACGAGAAAGTTGTAACACTTTTTAGTGTGACCTCGCATTTCGCGCTTTGTCACTGGTCACTCGAACTAGTTCAGTTATCCGCGACGCATCGGTTCTGCGGATTTTATAAAGCTTTACTTTGTTGTGGTGGGTCCGACCGTTGACGACGGGCGATGAACTCTACCCTCTCACCGTCAGCTGTGCGTGCACATGCCTCGTGCACCCGCATACACTCGTACTTTGCGACAGCTGCAACCCGACGTATGTTTAGCCGCGACCTTGCTCAACATTTTTTTCGTTTGCCACGGTTCAATTCGTTTTAATGACAGCCGTTTGATCTGGATATTTATGTAGCTTTTTTTTTTGTTATAGCTGTCCGGTTCGGACGCGTGCCAAAGCGCGAAAAGGCGCGAATCCTTGCTGCGATGCAGCAGTCATCGTCGTCACGGGCGCATGAACAGGCCGCGGCTGCGGAGCTCGATGACGGGCCCCGGCTGCTGGCCCGCGTAGTCCGCGCGCACTATGACACCTGCGAGTTCACCAGTGACCGCGTCGCCGAGATGCGGGCGCGAGCTCGTGATTGTCCCACCTATTCACAACCCACTTTGGTAAGCATCACGTTTTCATTTCACCATGACCCAAGACACAATAAAGAAACGAGGCTTTCTAATTTTTTTACTGAACAATGTCTCATCATATTTCTCTATTGTTACAGGCCTGTCCACTAAACCCTGCGCCAGAACTGCAATCGGAGAAGGAATTCTCCCAGAGGTTCGCCCACGTAATACGTGGAGTGATCGACTTCGCTGGCCTCATCCCTGGATTCCAGCTACTCACGCAAGATGACAAGTTCACGTTACTAAAAAGCGGACTCTTCGACGCGTTGTTTGTGCGCCTAATCTGCATGTTTGATGCGCCATTAAATAGTATAATATGCCTAAATGGACAGCTTATGAAGCGCGACTCCATCCAGAGCGGTGCCAACGCTCGGTTTCTTGTGGACTCAACTTTCAAATTCGCAGAGCGAATGAATTCAATGAACTTAACTGATGCCGAAATCGGCCTCTTCTGTGCAATCGTGCTCATCACTCCTGACCGACCCGGTCTTCGCAACATTGAACTAGTAGAAAGAATGCATGCGCGGCTCAAGTCATGCCTACAAACAGTCGTAGCACAAAACAGACCAGAAAGGCCTGGATTTCTTAGGGAATTGATGGATACCCTTCCCGATTTAAGAACTCTTAGTACACTTCATACAGAAAAGCTCGTCGTATTCCGCACAGAACACAAAGAATTGCTAAGACAGAAGATGTGGGGCGACGAAGAAGGTGTCTTATGGGCAGATTCTGGAGCTGATGAATCGGCAAGGAGTCCTATTGGCTCAGTATCCAGCAGCGAGTCTGGCGAAACAGCTGGCGATTGCGGCACACCTCTACTGGCCGCTACTCTAGCAGGACGCAGACGGCTTGACTCACGAGGGTCCGTCGATGAAGAAGCTCTCGGTGTAGCACATCTTGCACACAATGGTCTCACAGTCACACCAGTGCGTCCTCCTCCTCGCTATCGTAAGCTCGACTCGCCTACAGACTCTGGCATCGAGTCTGGCAATGAGAAACATGAAAGAATAGTTGGGACAGGTTCTGGCTGCTCCAGTCCACGCTCGTCACTCGAGGATCATCCCGAGGATAGACGACAACAGATCTCAGGGCCCGCTGATGACATGCCCGTTTTGAAACGTGTCCTCCAAGCGCCCCCTCTTTATGACGCCAGCCTATTAATGGATGAGGCATACAAACCACACAAGAAATTCCGTGCTATGCGCAGAGACACAGGGGAGGCGGAAGCGCGGCCAGTGAGGCCGACACCGTCACCGCAGCCGCAGCACCCGCATCCTGCGAGTCCGTCTCATCCAGCGCACTCTCCTCGCCCCATGCGCGTTTCGTTATCATCAACACACTCGGTGCTGGCAAAAAGCCTGATGGAGGGTCCAAGAATGACCCCCGAGCAGCTGAAGCGCACCGACATCATCCAGCAGTACATGCGACGAGGCGAGACGGCGGGCGAGTGCCCTGCGCGCGCTGGCCTGCTGGCGTGCTACCGTGGCGCGTCGCCGGCGCCTGCGCCCGTGCTAGCGTTGCAAGTAGACGTAGCGGAGGCGGACGCGCCCCAGCCGCTCAACCTCTCCAAGAAGTCGCCATCGCCGTCACGCCCCTACATGCCGCAGATGCTGCCCGCGTGAGCCCGGCCCGCGGAGCCGCACGTCTCCGCCACCCCACCCCGACCTACATTAAATTAAATGAAGAACACTAGTTAATAATAATCGTTCGCAGATCGTTTTAATATATTATATGTGATAATTCGTTTAGGAAGTGTGCGTGCGTGGCCGGCGCCGGACGAGGAGAGCCCATACAGACTGAAAATAATTTAATTAAGACTATAAATAATTGTAAGTGTAATTTATAATAATGCAATGGAGCGCCGGTCGCGGTATGTTTGTGTGTGTATCGTATGTGCGTATGTGAGCGTGCTCAGTCATTTGTTTGTTAATATAAATAATGACAGGTTGTCGAATTAAAACAAACTTGTAAAAATTGCTTCTGATTTTTATTTCTCATATTCCTCATAGTGTTATCAATGTTACCTTGGATACAGTAAGAAAAAAGATTCATTGGTATCATTATAAAAAGAGGTTTTGAAACAGGATAATTATTAACCTACAGTACATAAAATAAAGCGAGTATACCAGTTCAAATATTTCATTAAGGAAAATATTAGTTAAAATCACAATACAAAAATCAGTACCATTTACTTTTTGAGTACATTAAATTATACGTATAATGGAACTACCATTAAACTACTACTAATCATTATCATAATAATTCAATTATCATAATGATGAATGAAATTTAAATTAAAAAAATGGACAAAGCAACAGCATAACTTTATTGTGTACCATATAAAATATACTGCGTACGATTAAAGTGCGTGACTCACAGAAGTAACAAATAGACAGTTTGTATCAAAATAAAGAAGATACTGCATCTGTAAAGTCTATAAAAATTATCTTTGGTAAATTCCTAGCTCTCTTACTCTGAGATGATTATTTATTGTCTGTTGGTGGCACAAGTTACATTTCCAGACTTACCAGTAAGTCACTTCAAATGATATGAATATTATACAAATGCAGAACAAATGCAACAATTGATTGCAGAAATCATAACAAATCCAAATACCACTGTCCAGGAAACTGATATGCGAGAGGAAGTAATTGAAGGAGGTCACAAATTACATTAACAAGGGCATAAGCGTCGTCTTTATCTTTCTACTCAAATGCAGACCACGTGTCTTCTTGAATGAAAACCTTCGCTATATGACCTAGGTTTATTAAATGAGCATAAAATATAATGAGTTTGCGACTATCTGGAGTGCCAATATAGTTTGGCTGCCTCTATGTTTGAGACTTTGAGCCAAACGATGAGGTACACACATTGGGCTTATGGAATAAAATCGACTGCACAATTTTTTGTGTGGTGTGTGGTTATCGGTGCAAGGTGGCAGAAGGGCGATCGGTCGACGACCCTCGATGCTTCCGCGCCCGCGGCCGCTGCCGCTTCCAGCTGACCCCAGAGCCACGGCCGCGGGCCGTTCCGCGTTCTCAATACTGCCGCTATGCTCGGTGACCATTAAGGTTTCTAGGAAATAAAACAACTGTAAGTAGGGAATTGTTTTATGAGGCTGATCGTTTTCATGAAAGGAGAACCATCATAAAACTGAATTATAAATGAAGAAACTTAAATATTTAAGATAAAATACATTAGGCACAGTAGGTAAGTAACGTAACAAGTTTACTTTTAAAATCAATTCTCTCTTTATAATCATTCCCTCAGTACTGAGGATCGTCATCATTTAATTTGGCAGGTTTTATACTTGCCTCCAACCGTCTCCTTACATGATTGCTCTCACTGCCAGATGTAACTACTCCCACTTGATCCACCTAGCTGGCTAGTGACACCGAGTTCTCTTGCCCTCTACTACAACAACGACTACTACTACTACTACCAGCTTTTATTAGCTACGACCAGCAAAAACCATCTCGCCCTTTTCGCATTACGTGACTAAACTGTGGAGTTTGAAACGAAATTCAATGAAAGTAAATGGAATCAAAGTTGACTTATTAAATATTAGAATGCTTGCAAGCTTTTGCCCGCTTATTAGTAAACGAAGTAAGGCTTTACTCACATCACTCAAATCAAATGATTTTTAAGCTGTGGTAAACAGAGACATAACGCTATTTATGACGCAAATAAATAATACCAGCAATAATGTTTATGATCTAGTACCATGGTTTTAATTTATCATATCTCTGAATTTCTCTTGAAACCAGGATATTCAAGCCAATAACAAGATTGCAGTCAGACTTTGGAAATTTCAACTTTCATGGACCAACGGAATACGTGATTTCTGAATCTGCTCCATATCTATACTAATATTATGAAGCTGAAGAGTTTGTTTGGTTGAATACGCTAATATGAGAAAATAATAGTCCGATTTGTTTTTTTTTCTTGTATTGGATAGTGCATTTATCTAGGAAGGCTATAGACTGTACAACATCACGCTACGACCAGCAGGGCGGTGCATCGACGAAAAATGTTGCTAAAACGGGGAAATAATATTCCTTTGCGTGCTTCCGCTGCGTGCGCTGCGTAAATGGTGAAAGTTACAATTCCGACACAAAAACATATAGGTATGACGGAATTGTCTATTTAAAAGTTTATATGTTATATATAAACCGTCTTTGAAGTTTAACTCACTGTAACCTTTTTCCTCAAATTAACCATACTCGTCATATATTGAGAAGCTCGATGGCGCAGGTGGTTAGCGCGTTCGGCTGCGATCGTTGAAGTTAAGCAACTTTCCCAGTGGTCGGTCATTGGATGGGTGACCAAAAATTTACTATCTCGAGTACCTCCGTGCTTCGGAAGGCACGTTAAACCGTTGGTCCCGGCTGCATCTGCAGTTGGTAGCACTGTGCCCGCATGGTGGGCCATGGCCCAATCTCCCTATTCCATCCATAGGGAAGGCCTGTGCCCCAGCAGTGAGGACATTAATAGGCTGATGATGAACCATATTCAGCGACTGTTCGACGACACGGCGTTCGCCGGGTCAGCTAGTTTTCTAATTGTCGTTTAGGCAAACTGCAAGTTTTATCAGTTCATATGTTAACTTGGTAAACCGCCAAGTACATCAGCTGTGCCTTCGTTGTTTACGTGAAAACGTCACTTTGATCAATGGTGTAAGTAAACATATTTGTCTTAACATGCGTCATTATTATCAACAATTAAATTCTTATTCTTCTCGTGTATCAAAATAAGAATCTGTCTAGTTACGACTTACTTATTCTCGGTGGTCTGTACAACTTGCCTTTGAAATAAGGCAATGTTTCTTCATGCGTCTGGGATCTTATATAGTAAAGGAACTTTCGGTTGGATGAAATCAGGTCTCATTCATCTAGAAACAGATTATTGAGGACGACCTAAACAAATATAAGTACATAAACGCATATTTTCCGTATGTATAAATCGACAGCTGGAGATAAATTATATACCTAGTCCAGCCATAAGTTCTTTTACAAATGAAAATACATTTTTTTTAATGAAGTAATATAATATTATTAAAATTTATACCTACATATTTATTAGTCTCAGCAAAAATTAAAAAAATGTTCTATTCGAAATGGCCACCTTTGGCTTTATACACACACAGGCCTTTAATCTGTTTGGCCACGAATCTATGGACTTACGCACTGTTTCCAAGGGAAATTTCGCCACTGCTTGCTCCAAAGATTTTTTAAGAAACTCAATGTCGCCGTGTTATTGAGGGCAGGCCATGTCCTCGAAAACTGACCATAATTTGAAGTCTAAAGTGTTGAGGTCTGGGCTAGATGAGGGCTAGTCTTCAGCTCTTATAAAGTCCGCAACGTTGGTTTCAAGCCAGGCTTGGGTAGTTCGTGCCTTGTGACCAGGTGCAGAATCCCGCTGGAAAGCCCACGGTATATTTAAAAAAAGTCTATTCCCGAGAGGTTTCACAATGATCCAAGTCTGTATCTTGATACAGGGCTGAAGTTTTCACTTCTTTTTCACAACAATGTAGTTTTGTGACTCCTTGATAAGACATGCCCCACCAAACCATCACTGAGACAGGATAGTGACCATATTGTACCTTTCTAACCACTTGAGCAGCTTCTTCAGAACTGTGAGCGTACACCTTATATCATTATCATTATATTATTATCATTTTGCTTTTTGTAGTGTTCTTCTAATCGTGAAAATATATTCATCGGTAAAGAAGTTATTTGTGTGATTTTCACCTGCGTATCGCGACAGAAGGCGTTTTGATCGAGGCACTCTCTTTAATTGTAAAGATTGATTTAGGGCATGTCCTTCATATCGACGAGAAGTACCGAGCTTCAGGTCTTTTTTTATAATACGCGACAGAGTCAGATCTTCATTTCTCGCGATAAGATTTTTTGCTTCCTAATGGGGTTTCGATGAATTATGGCTTTAACAGAATTAACAACCTTTGTAGTTCTAACCCGCCCCGATCTTTTCTGGTCTTCGACAGACGAAGTGTTGTTGTATCTGTATACATACGGCTGATACCAAGCTTTTGAAGTGTCTGGAATGTGACCGACGGCTCCATACCCACTTTGTGCAAGGCGATCAATGCAATCCTTTTTTCTCTATCAACCCATTCCATATTGTAATTTGAAAACGAACACGAAAAAAATATGAGAAATGGCGCAATATCGAAAGAAGTTGTTAATAATTTAAGATTATACGTGTTCCAAATTCAAAATAATTTAAAAGTAAAAAATTATAAAAGTTTTTATGTAACAGTATTTAATTTTATGGCCAGTTAGTTACTAGTTACTTCTACATCAGCATACGTTGCATTTTATCATTATTTTTTTACCTCCACATAACTTCTATAGGCCTGTATTTTGTTCCAAAAATTAAAAAACTCCATTATTATATCGGCTCTGTATGCAGTTCTGACCATAAGAAAAGTATGAAACAAAATTGTGTAGCTGTTGCTTCTGGTTTTCCTTTTTGGTACAAAAAAGTACATTGGGACCCAGTCCTCGCCTGATTACATGACATAGTGGAAAATGAAGGAAATATAAAAATTAAATGTACTTAATCCACTTTCTATAATAAAAAAAATAACCCTATGTATCTTCCAGTTACAAAAAAAATGTTTTGTTTGTCTGTTTCACAATATTTTATGACAAGTCCTCGTTCAGAAAGTAGGTAATTTACAAAAAAAAACATAAAAAATATTCCTAATCTATTATTTCACCATTTATTGAAGTAATTTTCTTCAAATTCTAATCACACTATCCAGATTTAATTCTGCATGGAGAGATTCTATCAGAAGAACATATATATCTCTTCTCTGTGGCTGTGTGTGAGCATTTAAAATGCCCGTGTAAAATGGCTACTTTTATTTTATTTTTATATCTATTTAATTAAATTTATTTCATCCATCCATTTCATATCCAATTTTTTTTAATAATAAGACACCTTGTACCTTTTTTTGACCTTGAATATTTGTATACTATTTTAAGAGAAGATAAACTAAGAAATAAATATAATAAAAAATAATCATGCATATTACCTATTATAATAAAATTTTACCTAATCTAATTGAGTAGGTAGTCATTTGGGACCGGGACCACTGGTCCTGACGGGGACATGGAATTAATAAATTATTTTGAGGCGGCATTCGGGACCGAAGCTAGTGGTCCCGAATGACACCTATGTTTAATGATTATTTTGAGTGGTAAGTTGGGACCATAAATATGATCTAAGTTCCTATCTTAATTTTTTATGTCGAGGAAGTACAGTCAAATAAAAAACGGCTTATATAATATAAAATATTTCTTTTATTTGAAAAAACACAGCCTTTAATTGAAAGTAAACCTAACTAGCTAAATATTTGTGTTTATATCTCCTAAATCTACATGATTGCATTCAAAATCATATGCTAATAAAAAATTGTACTTATACATTTTAAATGAAGATTAACAATATTTAAATAACAAAATAGTAGCTCTCATTCCAACAAATTAAAACAATGTCACCCTATTACGTTTTAGTTACAAATAAAAATTACTTACAAACTTTTCAATTAAAACATCAGTGTTACTCGATGGTATTTTTTAAATCAATATCACAACCGTTTTTTTACTATTATTAAATCTTTTATTTCACATAAAAATCAACTAAAATAATAATCAACATAATATTCAACCCCCCTTTAACGATTTTGTTAAAGTATTCAGAATCATTATATAATTTTAAAAAAATATAACATTTATATTGATACCAATTTTTTTGTAAATATTGTTGCTAATAATAAGTAATAATTCCGTATCAGTCTCATGAGGAATTGATGGACATTACTGTATTTAAAATCTTAACTTCTCTAAACAATGACCGACAGTTATTTGGCCATTTATTAAATCCTGCAATGTCAGATTGATCTTTTCTTTGGTTGCTACACTCTCTGCAGATCTTCTGGAAATATTATTCGTCATTTTGAGTTTATTGCAGTAAAAGCTACTGTCCTTCCTAATGCCCTCCACAAATTTAACTATATTAGGTTTTGATTTCATATATCTTTTTACGTGGTTGTGCCATACTACTATATTGTTTGTTTTATGGCCTTCATCTTAGCTGTACCATATTGGAAAATAAATGTCATTTTCTAACCAGATGCTGACAAAATAATCATCAAAAGCTGCCTTTGCCCTTCGGACATTCTTCCATTTTATAAAACAACTCTTCACTGAACAAATGTAACGGGAGGTGGAACAGTACTGAATATAACTTTACGTGTATTTTGCCCAACTGTTTTGCTTTTCTCCATAAACATCTAGTAAAATGGAAAATGCTCCGGATTGCCAATATGGCAGGCACTTCAAAATCCATGCTTAGTTTTAAAGGGTTCCACTGAGGTATACGACTTCTTATTAAAGAAAAAAGAATGGCGTATGTTTCACGGGTTTTATCAGGTAAAATCACATACAATATCTGCTCTGATGTTTTTCTTGGAGGGTGACAGTGATTGGTTGAATTAACAATTGTTCCATGCATTATTTTAATTGTAGCATTGCAGAAAACCTTCTTTCGGCACCTCCATAAATTTGATCCATTTTTATGAGTCTTTTTGAGTATGTATTCATAGTTTGACCCACTTGACATTACCATCGCCATAACATTGATGAGATGTCATAATCATCACTTAACCAATCAGGATTGATTTGCTTAATAGTAACTGGGCCCTTTTTTGTTTAATATGTAAAAAGCTAAGCTACTTTATATAAAAAGATATGGTTCTCGTTTTTACAGTTTCACAATTTAATACAATTATTTATTTCAATATACTTTTAAATAAAAACAATAGGGATGCATAAGAGAGATATCACTACGCATGTGCACAACATTTTAGTGTGTCCATTTCCTACCGATAACATAAACACCATGTTACTTTTTGTTCGTTTTAAATTAAACTACCTACTTTGAATAAGTTTATTTAAATAAAGAACTTAGTTCAGTTCGTTATACATTTATTACTCTAGAGTGGCTGGATTGATTATCATGATGTTTGATTTATATTTGGCATCACCCCGAATACTAATATATTAACGAGCTTTTATCGTTAACTGTACTTTTTAATCAAACACTTCTTTCTTTATTTTTGGGCCAACTTACCACTCAAAATAATCATTAAACATAGGTGTCATTCGGGACCACTAGCTTCGGTCCCGAATGCCGCCTCAAAATAATTTATTAATTCCATGTCCCCGTCAGGACCAGTGGTCCCGGTCCCAA